TTCATTGTCTTTCCATAATAGGATAGGCTTGATTCAAATATGATCAAGTTGTTAAATAGAAGATCAGAAAAGAGAAGAAGTGGGGAATTTTTTTTTCTGATCATTAAAAATACCCAGGTATAATGGAGTATTGTTCACCATGTCAGACTAATGATGTCCTCTAAAAATGAGGAGGGAAAGGGGAAATTTCATCAGATATGAAAAGAAAGAATCAACTGCCTTTCTTTCTACCATGCTCTGGTCAGGGAGAGGAGACACCAATTAGCAGCTTCAGTGCACACACGGACCCTCCGGATCTTGTAAGGTTTGGGGAAAGGGGTCATGACGCTATTCCTGTAGAAACTCATCAAGCATCAAAGTTGCCCTTAATGCCAATTACATCTATTCGTTCAGGCAGCTTATTAAAATGCTTCATAGTCATAAGCCACCTAGATGCCTTGAGGCGAAGACGCTCTGGTAAGGGGAACAAAACATGGATAGAAACAGAGCTATTTAGAAGGCTCTGGCCTTTGGCAGGTAACTGCTTAATTAGCTCGGGCTGTGTTAAGTGTGACTTACTCCCTTCTGATCCAAAGAGCTTCTGGCTGCTATGGGTTCATTTAATGGGTTGTATTTTAATGTTGGTCTTGTATTTTAATCCTGATCTCTTGGCCCTATTTGAGCAAACAAACCACAAGAACAACAAATAGAAACTGAGGCACAGGGGGCTTAAAAAAAGTAACTAAAGAGAAGGGGAGCCAATAATTTACTTGGGAGCTTATGCTCTTTAACACCATGTGATTTCCCTCCTTCACTTGCTTCTCTAGCATTTCTTAGCTGTGGGGAACGGAACCCCCTTTCATCCTAAGAGCTTGCCTCGTTTGCTCCTACCCTACTTACGTCTGGCAATATGAGACCCACACTCTAAATGTTTTCTCTTCCCCCACAGCCACTCCTTTAATTAATGCTCCCTCATCTCTTGCCTGGACTAGAGTAGTAGATCCTAAATGGTTTCATTTGTTCATTCATTCACTCAACAAACACTAATTAGTTAGCCACTATGGGCCAGCCTCACTAGCCCCATCTTGTCCTTCCACCGCAGAGGTGTCATAGTGACATTTCCAAAGAAAAAATCTGACCATGTGTGGGGAAAATGCCTATGACCAGGATCCTCACCTGACCCTAAACTACGTGATGATGGAATTGGCCTACTGCTAGGCTAATGCTCTCACACCCATAGGCAATAAACTCTTACAGACTGAGCCACTATATATAAAGAGCTCCACCCAGGGCCCTGGATGGAGGAAGAGATGGAGGTGGATTGAGACCTGCAAATGGCTGGATGCAGGTGTGATCCTACTGCTCGACTTACTGCCAGGAGAATAAAGCCAGGTATAAACCCTTTTACCCCAAGACACCATGCCACTTCCATGCTTAAAAACTTAACTGGCCCCCTATCATTTTAAAGGATTGTGTGCCTTTTACAAGATGACATTTGAATGGCTTGAAATGAATGTTTGTTTAATGTGCCCATGGTTTTTCTGGCCAAAATTAACTTTAAGAAATCACTAGCAAAAAGGGATACTTCCCCCCTCCCCACAGCTTGTCATTCATCAAATTGTCTCCCAAATTGTTCATATGTATGCATTAGACTGGAGAATGTTCCATAATAGTCTAAAGAGTTGAAGTCAAGCTTTTAAAGGAGATTGCTTAATGGACTCTCGGTAGTCTAAGATGAGACCCATGAAACTTAGGGGTGTGTGTGGGGTGTGTGTGTGTGTGTGTGTATGTGTGGTGTTTTGTGTTTTTTTTACATTATTTTATATTCAGTCCATTGCTGGCAAATAGAACACATTAAGCTTTAAATTAATATTAGTTACTGCTGTTGTTAATGACCTTATTATTCCTACAGCATCCCAGAATTGGGTTTTCCTGTCTCCGGGTCTTTATTTTTCCAATTCTTTGAGTACCACTCCATTGCCTTCTGAAAATAACACTTTTGTAGTAACTTTGCAACTCCAGAGGCTGCTAAACCCTTATAAGCTGTATTCTGTTTCGGGCATTTACTGATTCTCCACTCTGCTCTCCAAGCTTCCCTCTTCCTATGTACTCTGTTACCAGCCCCCTTGTCGACACAGAGCAGGGCTGCCGTCAGACAAGCTGTGTCTGTCTCTCGTCCTTGTCTCCTTGTCCGGCTCTGCTTCCATCTGCTGCGGCAGAATACTGCAGGGCTTTCGCGTGAGATAAGCTCTCCCTTTACTGGCTGTGTGACCGTGAGCAAATGAATTCCACTCCCTGAGCCACAATTTTCTCATCTAACACAAAGGTATAAAACCTACCTCATGGTTACTGTGAGGATGGGATGGGATACTGGACACCAGTGCCCAGCACAGAGTTCCAGTCCCAATTCATCCATGAAGCCTTAAGCCTCTACCCTTATCTACACACTTCTCTCTGTTTCCCTACCTTCAGCTGCACTTATGGACAGGCATGCATAGTACTTAAATATTCATATTTCTCCCCGTATTCATTATTCTCCCCCAATAGACTGCAAAGTGAACTAGGGCATAGATTGTGTCTTATGTCAACACAAGAGCCTACAGGAGCCAAACAAGGAACAGAAAATAGATCGGGTGTAAGAAAAATAGGGAGGACTGGGGATTCTGGCCAACTTGAGGGCACATGGAACTCTGGCCAATTGTTGTCATGCGGGAATATGGGCCCAGTGTTGCCAGAGCTCAGCCTTTTCAAAAGAAGCCAGAAATCCAGATTCTTATGTGAAATGTCCTGAATTTTTAAAGTTGGGCCAACACTGTTCAGGCCAAACAAAGCATGTCTGTGAGACCCCAGTTTGTGAAAGCTGCCCTATTCAGATGCCCCTCCAAGTTTATGCGTAAGCTGGTTATTTAGACCTCTGAACTCACTTTTATGAGAAGCAATACTGTGAATGGCGTTCAGGCTAAGCTGGAAGGCTGATTCCCACTCATACCAAACCTGACACTTGGGATCGTCCTAGGAAACCTAATCTCTAGGCCATTTTCTGTCATGGAATAACATTTAGAGTTGTGATGTATGGTGTTGGTGACACATACAGTAGAATTTAAGCCCTTTCAGGGCAGGGTCTTTGTTTTGTTTGCTGCTGTTTCCTTAATGTCTAGTCACTGCTTAGTGCTAATAAATATTTGTGGAATTAAAGATAAACTATATCTTTATCCATCTATTTACAATTAATCTGTTCTCTGTATGCAAACAAGGGCCATCTTGCTCACCATGGCATCCTTAGCACCTGGCAGGTGATAAGAGATCAATGAATGTTTGCTGAATGAATATATGACTGAAACAATTTATCCATCAGATACTTATTGAGCATTTCCTGTGTGCCAAGGAATATGCTGGACTTGAAGGATGCAGAATGAATCAGACACAATCCCAGCCTCAAGGAATTAGAAAGAATTGCAGAAACTGTTTCCTCGAATACTTCCAAAAATTGTGAGAAGTCACTCAGTGTTCCCCTTTCCAGAAGAGGGAGGAAGATGGATAAGATGAGCTGGGACCACTCAGCACCAAGATTCTTCATTTATCTGAGCGTCCCTAGGGTTGTATTTATTCATGGGGTTTGGATGTGAGATGATTGGGCTGACTTTCTTTCAACCACGTGTCAGGATGAGCCAGAAGAGTGCTGCCCTGTCAAGTGGGCACCTCGGGAGGCCAGGTCCTCATGCCAGTTCAGTTGCAGCAGCGCTGGACCCCTCTCTGGCAAGTGCCCTTGGAGAAAGTTAGAAGCTGCTTAAGGACATTTATTTCATTGCTTTAGAATCCTCTTATTTTTGACCTCCCAAAAAAATGTTTGGGAGAAAAGGGTTATTCCAGTCACTTTATCCCTTGGTTCCAAATGACTCTGGGCTGTTTCCTAAAATCCACTTCAGAATCAAAGGCGAAATTTTTTGTTGGTGAGTTTATTGAACAATATGTGCCCCAGGCTCTGAAGGCAGTAGAGCCCAAAAAGAGGTCCCCAAATCGCCATGTGCCCCAACAGCTCTGTTGGAAGAGGTGTTTAACCTTCCAATATCCCTATAACAAAGGAGGTGGGATTCTTTTTAATGCCTATATGCTGGTATTTGGGTTAAAGAGTAAAAAAGAAACAATCAACTCTATCTAGTTTACTTTTATCTAGCACAGATTCTGGACATACAGGCACCCAAAAATGTTTTGTGTAGAGGAAAAACGGATGATGATGATATCCAACAGCTACTAAGTGCTTACCATGTGCCAGGCACCATACTGACACTTGTCACTCATTGTGCCTGATGGTCACAGTGACCTCATGAAGTGGTTACAATCATCCTCCCCGGAACGAAACCAAGGCCTGAAGTTAAATAACTTGCCCAAGGTCACCAAGCCAACAAGGACCAATGCTGGGACTTTGAACCCTAGTGGAAAGTCCCTACTCTGAACCCCTAACCTATTCTCATTAAGGTAATTGGTGTGGGATCATATAATCCTAATACAGCAGAGAAGGTGATCCTAAAATAAAGCAAAGGGCTCCAGTCCCTGCTGTGGTCATAAAACCTCCCTCAGTCGGTGGCTTTTATGTCTGGGCATCCAGCCTCTCCTTGGGCATTTATTTTCCTGAGCTGTCCCAACTCACTGCCCTTGTTAGCAAAGAAGCCCCGATATTGTGACCCTATTAGAAATGGCTACACAAGCGTGTGTGTGCAGTCTGAAGTTTGGCCGAGTGGAATACCTGCAAGATCTTTTATCTCTGGAGTTTTAGGGACCCTGATCCACTCAGATTGCAACCAGGCCAATGGCGGCACAGAGGAGAGGGGCTGGAATTTGGGCTGAGAAAGTGACCTGAAGTCATACCCACCACTAGGGGCCTGATCCTGCTAACGTGCTTTGTCCTCCTGGGCCTCGGTTTCCCCTTCTATAGGAAGAGAGTTATGTGCAAGGTCTGCTCAGCTCTGGAGGAGGAGGAGAAAGAACCCACTTTTCTTGCTCATTGGGCATTTATTCCCCAGGCTGGAGGAGAACTATGAGATTGCAGAAGGGGTCTGCATTCCTCGCAGTGCCCTCTACATGCACTACCTGGATTTCTGCGAGAAGAATGACACGCAGCCTGTCAACGCTGCCAGCTTTGGGAAGGTGAGTCCAGCCTCCCCAGGCGTCTTCCTCTTCTTCATCTCTTTTAAGTAATTGAGGCACAGTTCTTAATCATTCTAATGATTAATTAGTTCTTCATTGGTTTCTTAAGATGTTTTAAAATGATTAAGATTTTATGAATCTTAATTTCTTAAATTAATAAATGATTAATGATTTGGTAACTTTGCTATAATACTTTGCTGTAAAAAGTTTGAACAATTGACCAGGTGATAACACCAAATGCCACAACAAAGTAATACCAACATATTATTAATTTCAAACCATTCAGACAGGTTATAAAGCCAAAGGGGAATGTCTAACTTGAATATCCTCAGTACTTAACTTCCAGAAAGTAACCTTTTGCTTCCAAAAGCCAAATATTGAACTCATAGGTGTGTTGTATGTGTGTCAGTGAGCCTGGGACAGGCAAACTGCTTGGCTCCATATGTGACAGACTTGGAGAAACTGAGGAATGGCCCTGTGTCATTAGCTTGAAGGTCTGGGAGTTCTCTGCTGGGAGTGGTGCTATTTGTAGTATTACTGCAGGCCTGATGTTCTCTATCCATCTTATGATAAAAATATATTCCACACTTGGGCTATGTCTAAAAAATCATTACCACTAACCCTGCATATTTAACAGGCCAAGGAAAGCTCTTGGTGTCCCTTTAAGAAACTTTTAAGCCTCTTTGAGACTCACTGTTTATTTGATAGATGAAATCTAGATTTTTACACCTCGAAAGTGCCCAATTTAATTCGGATCAATAAATCTAAAATCTTTCTCCTTTTATTTGCTTCCTTCTCCTATGTATAACTTTTACTGCATCTGCTAACAAAAAATAAGCAGGCTTTTCTGTACCACTATTCCTTACCAGTTTTCTGAGTGCAGGCATAACAAGGGCTGAGAGGGCAGAAAGGGGTCAGTGCATAAGTTCTGGAATTCCCTTTTCAGGTCTCCAACAGTTAAATCTTCTGCAGGAAACAGACAGAAAAAAAGAGCCGTGCCAGGCCTGAGCCCATCCCCTGGAGAGTCCAAAACTGAGTGGTTGGATATTGGCTCCACTCAATAAATGGGAAGACGCTCTGTGGCACCTTAAGGAGGGGGAAGTGTTTCTGGGATGCATTAACACTATTTCTCCAACATGAAAATAATTTTTTAAAAATATCAATGGAGAAATGACTTTTACTATTTCATTCATTCACTTCTTCAGTCCCTGGGTACTGGCTGAGCTGGGCTATGCGGCAGGCACTGCATTAAGTAGCCAGGAGGGAGTCCAGCATGGGTCCTGCAGTGCAGGGGCTCACAGTCAGGGAGGAGGTGGGGAGTCCCTCAGCAGGAGGAAGACGGGAGAGCACTCCAAGGAATGCGTGGCAGTACTGGACCTTTGTCACGTGACTGTGGCCCTGGAACACTCACTCACACCCACATGCTCCCCTGCAGCAGCCGTAATAGAGAGTCCAGATAAGGCCTCTTAGATGGAGGGACAGGTGTGGTAAACCGAAGACCAAGAATCCTAACTCTCCCGGACTTAACACTTAACCTCTGAGCCTCAGCGCTCTCTGCTGTGAAATGGGGATTAGCCCCCAACTTCGTCAGGGACATTGTCAGGGTCAAGTGAGAGGATTCGGTGGATGATGTAAAGTACTGTTTGCTCAGTCATCTAACAGCTCAGGGAGTAACACCTGCCAAGTGCCATTACAACCGTTGCTATGAATTCTCCTTGAGATGTTTGTGCACAGATACAAATAGGCTTTGTTAGCTTAGATTCTGAAAACAAAAACGAAAAACCCTCACCACTTCTAGAACCTCCAGTTTGCCTGTGTAAGGACCTTCCATTTCTTTCTTCTCATATGCTTTTGTGACCCAGTTGTTAGCTCTGGGTTTCCTTGACCTCATGAACTAGATAAAACTGATTTAACTCTGCCCTTCCTCCCAGTATCCCAGTTCTTATTTAAAGTCTGAAGCCTGCCCCAAGAATTCAGCAAATCCCAGGGCGTTTGCATTCTCACAGTCACCTTGACCTGGGACTCTTCCTTCTGTATGTATCATCTCTCTATATACCTGTGCTGTGTATGACGGTAACCATATACAGTTGTTAACCTTAAAATTAAATGAAATTAAAAATTCAGTTCCTCAGTCACACTAGCTGTATTTGAAATGCTCAATGGCCACATATAATCTGAAGGTACCATATTGGTCAGTGCAGATAGAACATCTCCATCACAACGGAAAGTTCTATTGGACAGCCCTGTTCTGAACCACTGTGCGCCAGGAGGGAAAGTCAGGGTCCTCTCTACTGTGCACAAGACAGCCCGCAGGAAGCATCCATGACCCCAGTCCACTAGGTCTGTAGGAGGGGTTAACATACCAAACAGTGTCCCACAGAACAGATGTCTCCACCTCAGAACATTCTCAGGCCTCCCCACTGCACCCCCCACCTGCCTGTCTCCCACAGTTCGATCCAGATCTCTCCACTCCGCAGCTTCCTCTTTCCTCTTCTACCACCACCCTCTGCTCCCCCTCCCTCCCCATTCCCCCTCTTTCTTGAGATACCTTCAACAAATTTCCTCTGTTCTCCAGTCCTTGGTCCTCCTGACATCTATGCTCGCAGGTCTCATTTACCCCAAATTGCTTTCCAAATAACGTTTTCTAAGAATTACAGTGCCAGTTGCTTCCAAAATGGTCACTATAGAAAGACAGCCATACTCCATCTTGTCTCCAGTCCAAAAGCAAGGAAATATTCTAAAGGTATTAAAAGCACAAATGCAAGCGCTCTTTGCAGCTGCCTTGCCATGGAGTTCAGATGCACTGGAGACTGGAGCTGTCCTTCCAGCCGCAGAGGACAGAAGGCGCCTGCTGGGGGTTTCTACACTAAGCTTGTTGAATTGAAGTCCCAGACACATCTGGTCCTTCCTGAGGGCGGCCAGAAGGCTGCAGCTGCCATCTCCTTGAGAGAAAGGGACTAGTTGTTCTGTGAAACCTTGGGGTGCAATTGTGGACAGTCTTCCTTTGAGCAGAGCCGTCCAAACTTATGATTCATCTATGAACTTTAACTCAGGGCAGGCGAGGTTCCATACTTAGGCTTAACTTTCAGAGAAAAACAAGTTTGGTGGTAGTCTTCTCACCCAGCTTGCGAGTGGGCCAAGGTGAAGCAGACATCGGCCGAGAAGCCCTGCCCCGCTGTCGCCTGGCTCTGATTCTGTTCTTGATAAATGGATGGCAGGAATTGCTTTGCTGCAAGCAAGACCTGATACAGAGGTCCTCTTTCCAACCCTGTGGCCAAGCAAGCTCCATGAGCCCTGGCTTCCAGTGATGTATTGACTGTGGGTCCCGGAAATCACTTAGAAATTGCAGAGAATGCTAAGGCTTCTAGCTGAACGGGTCTTGTGCCTGCTTTTGCTGTTGGCTGGAGTCATGAAAGGTCAGCCAACTGGAATCACTTAACTTTTCTGAGCTCCTATTTCCTTACCTTTAGACCGGAGTAATCCCTCACCAAATTCCTTTAGGGATAAAATGATACAGTGCTTATGAGAGCATCTTTAAAACTGGAAAGTGCTGCACCAGTGGAAGGTTCACCATTACCTAAAATGGGCCCCGCTTTGCATCCTATCTCCTCTCTTTCCTCACCATGCTTTCTTTTTCTTTATAGCTCTTAACCATTGTTGGAACTATTTCATATATGTGTGGTATAAGTAATGTATGTATACTTATAGATCACATACAATATATGCTTATGTATTATATATATTATCATATATGATATAGTTATATATATACATAAGTGTGTGTGTGTGTGTGTGTGTGTTGCTTGTGTTTTGTCTGCCTCCTTCTCTAGAATGAAAGCCCCACCAAGACTATTTTGTTCACTATGCATCTCTGCCTCCCAGATGAGTGCCTGGCATATAAGGACCCTTGGATATTTGTTGATGATTGAATGATTTTTATTGTAACTATTTGCCAGGGACACTGTGAATCATTTGATATATGTGAGTTTGTTTAACCCATACAATAACTATATGAAATTGGCATTGTATCTGTCTTCCGTTGGTCCATTTGCTGAGTAGGAATGAACTTCCTGAGGTACCAGTGGAAACTGGCTGTGTTTGCACTTACCATGAAGAGCTACCTTCTGAGTCCTATGTCCAGCCTTCGTGCTCTGCCCTCTGATGACACTGCAGGGAAATCCTACAGCACCCAACCATGTTCAGCCATCATGTCGGTCTAGGTTGAATAATTAAAACTCATTTTTGGATACGAAAAAGTCCAGCTCAGTCCAATTTAAAACTTCCATTGCACAAGGAAGTCAGAGCCTCTGCCCCGGTGGCTCCGAATTTGCTCTGTGAACAAGGGGTGGGGTGGGCTCTCCCTCTTCTCTCCTGACTTCCCAGGGCTGGGCGAGGGATCCGGTGGGGGCAGTTAGAGCAAAGGCAGTGGACTGAGTGTGCAGCTGATGCTTGTTGAAGCCGCCTCTCACTGTCAGGCCCCTCTGCTGTGATTGTCATCTGTGCGCTGGGGAAGGAGGGCTCTCTGCGCAGTGGCTGAAGGGCTGTGCTGTCCAGCTGACCTCCTGCGCCCACCCACACACGCTACTCTTGCTGCTCCACTGAGGGTTCACCCTCTGGCTCTCTTCTTGAGTTGGAGGGCTTTGACCAGCTCACCTCACACCTAGAGTTACACCCTTATTCTTAAAGATGCCAAAATGAGCCCCACAAGTGTAACTGGTGTGCACAGCAGACTGAACTCAGTGACAAACAGAAAATAGCTTTGCTTTCTTCTAGTCACTCCTTCAACTGTATTATGGCCACACTCCCTACCCTGACCTGTGGTGGTTTTGTGGCAAGCTTCATAGCTTTTTGCTTATTGGTTATAAGAATAGCCTCTTTTTCATTATTTAGATTCTCTTTTAGACATGAAAGTCCAGTCCAGTGCTCCAGTTGAACCCTGCAGTCTCACACCCATGTGAAAACTCTCCCCTACCCTACATGTGGCCTGGGACCTGCAGTGG